TTGTATCTTTTCTTGGTAACAATGCTGCTATACCCCCAAACGTCTAGTAATCAAACTTGCACTCGGAGCATATTGTACCTCGCTATTGTAGGCAGACAATGAGTGTTATCGACATGATATAAACAATTGGTGAACTAGACATAGCAGTCGCCCAGCACGAAGATGTTACAAGATATAGTGACACTTTAGGTATCAAAGTGCATAAGGCGCGTGAGCTGGCAAGTTTCTCTCAGGCAGACTGTGATGAGAGCGACGATCTGCAAAGGATCTGTTACATGGTGTTGAGATGTAGTAATTGCAGAAGCAATAGCTGCGTAAAATTATAAGTAAAACCTAACATCTGACCGTGTGTATACCCTAACGGAAATCATTCAAACAATTTTAATTACTACATGAAGAGCTGCAGTGGTAACAGAACCAGAGATCCACAATGCAGAAGATGGACTGCAAAATTATCGGAGACAGTAAATAAATTATATTCGAAGCCAACAGAAGAGCGCGATCCAGGGACCTTTTCCTGTCCTGATTCTGCGAAGCATTCTAGAAGTTAAAAAAGAAGAAGAACAAAAACACTTAGAAGAGAACAGCGGATGACGATGGTGCTGATGATGACTATGAATGCTAAATTCAAGCAAAACATTATTCAGAGAATTCCAAAACACACTAACTAAATTTATAGTTACAAAACGATATAGGCAGCCATACTTACACATGTGAAAATCGTGACATTCTCCCTTATCTTCACTATATGGTCCTGCCAATCATTTTAACCAATTTTTAAACTTTGTTTATCAAAGGAAATGTGTTGCCAGAATTAGTCCTCATTGTAGTGTCCCTGGGCATGGCGGGACCCGTTTTCAAAAATCATCATCTTTTCTCACCAAGGCAAAGAGTTGAGTTGAGTTGATTCAAAAACCGACATCACAGCACTCGGGGCATTCCCATAAGCGCTTCGTCTCCTTCTTCAGCAGCCAGCGAACAGTTCCGATACTAATGATGCCAGTAGTATTCTGATTAAACGTCCGTCTTGCCTTTCCTCTAAGACTCGAGCCTCTGCCAGAACCTCTCGTCACCCCCCTCCCCCCCCCCCCCTTTTTACCCTTTTCCGCCTCTGCAACAATCTTACCTGACTGTGGCGATCCATCTGCTTCCTCGAACTGTACACGCTTTCCAACAAGGCACTAACCACGTCTGCCTTATCGTGCATCAGTTATCCACCAAGCTGTGCAGAGCCAGCCAGTCTGTCCGCCTGTTCATTCCCCAAACACCGGCGTGCCCTCGTGAAAGCATCCTGACAATACTCCTCACCAGTGTCTTCTGCAGCGAGGCATGCCACTCTGCACGAAGCATACCTGTTCCGATCATCCTCAGCATACTTTCTGAGTCAGATACAGTCACAATGTGCGTGTGTGTGTCGTGTTCTCTAACAAATAAAAAGCTTGAGCGACAGATGTTGTGGTATCATATGCTAGGTTCCCCTTCACAAAACGTCGACCTTTACCTTTTGCGACGAAACATTTATTTATTTCTAATAAATCTATCTCCAACTCCCCCCTCCCACCCCCACTCCCCACTCGTCTCTTCATATGCAAGGCAAAGAAAACAACGACAACGATGGCGACGGAAAAATCTCTCATATAATGCCTTTCTACGTTTTGATATCTCAGGTTGGTGGGGAAACAATCATTCCAACATTTGGACTTTATGATCAAACTAAATAGAAAACGCATCCAGAAAATGATTGTGAAACTTATTTTAATACATTCGTAGAAAGATAAAGAATGAAAGAACATAGTATTAAATGCAATATGCATAATGAATATGTGCTGGAGGTTAGTTGCGTATCCTTTACAGGACGTTGCAGAACTAACCCATGGCTGTTGTGTGGGTTTTCGAGTCAAATTTACGTCCAGTAGTTTGCCATTGCCTCGTGGTCTACGACCATTTGTCTCCCTTGTGCATACAGTTTTCACTTCTGTCATCTGACATTCTTTCAATATGCTCCAACCATTTCAGTCTATTAGCTTTCATGACGCTAGTGATCAGTGGTGATTTCAACAGATTATGAATTTCGTTGCTGCTTCATACTCTCCATTCCCCTAACCGACATCATACCTGGTGCAGAATGGATACCTGTGCCTCAGGCGTTTATTTGTACATTTTCCTGTATTGTCACACTCATCAGGCGATGTAGAGAAGAGAATCCTGTTGCTGTTAATGCAGAGGTCAACGCTCTCATCGGTGAAAATTCAGACGAAGCAGATGCACTAATCTATACAGACGGATCCGTTATACGCCAAAGAAGAAGCGCATGGGCATTTACAGCACGCTCAGCGGGCAGAACAGTCAAAGAAGCCAACGGTGCCTTCTCCATGACAACCAGCAGCATGACGATGGAGGTGATGGCAGTGACGCAAGCGTTTGCCTGGCTTGAAACACAAAAATACACCCGCATATGTATACTCAGTGATTCAATGAGTATGATCCGGAGGGTTCAGGCAGGTTCAGTGCGAAGACAATGGCTTGAATCATTACAGAAGTCCACTGTGCGTGGAGTCACCTTTATTTTTGTTCCGGGACACGCAGGCGTCGATGGAAATGAAAGAGCTGACAGGTTGGCTGGATCTGCTATCACTACCGACGGTCGGCCTATGGATCATGCTGATATTATCAATGCCCTCAGAGAAATGGGAAGGATAGAGGACTTTGGTGGCAGTGAATCCACATCACTCGCCAGAATGGCAGACTTGGGAATTAAGATCGGCACAGCAAAAAACGAGACGCACACCGGACACGTCAGAAGACTTGTTAATCAACATAGAACTGGTACTATTAGCCATCGGACGTTGGGGTTCATACTGAGGGGAGGATCTGAGCACCTATGGACATGTCCGGAGTGCAATGACGATAACCCAACTAACTAACTAACTAACTAACTCTCCATTCCCCGCTGTTTCCATCTTTGATAGGTCGATCTAGGAAAAAAAATATTACCAGGATTCTTCTCCGCGCTAAAGGTTGGCTGCAGTCCACCTCATCACACTGTCTCACTTCTTGGTTAAGCACCGGTGCAAGCTAAACTTTACGAGTTGCTGAGTGAAATACACAAGAGACAGATAATCTATTTCAAGCGAACGGAAAAAGAAGAAGAACTTCTTTGTCGTACACTCTATTATATATAATGTTTGTCTAGCAACTGATGTTAAACTGACACTTGTATTGATATCTGCCTAATTTGTGTTTACCCTCAACGTTGCTCTCCAGTATGCTTTTTTTTTTTTCTTTTCTACACTGTTATGTGTTGTGTCTCTTTTAGTGCCAGGCAGTTACTTCAGCGCCGTCTTTTTCCATAGTCTGTATACATTAGCGCAGTGGTTCTAAACCTGTAGGTCGCTACCCATTTTTGTGTGTGGCTCAAACAACCGTCTCACAGGGGTCGCCAAAGACCATCATCATCATCATCATGTTCCCTGCCAAATGGCGTAGATGCTCATGCGTCTCTATAGATCACGATCCCTGGTTGCTTGGAACAGGTCTCTTGATTATATCCCCCTTTGCCATCGTTTCAGACCATCCAGCTTCATCTCTCTTGGTCTGACTCTACCTCTTTTTCCACTGATCTTTCCAGTTGTCACAATGTTCTCCAATGTCTCTCTTCTCATTATGTAGCCGAAGAACTCTTTTTGTCTCTTACTCATTGTTGTATATAGAGGTGTACTTTCAGTAGCTTCTTTCAAGCAATCGTTGTTAGTTACTCTGGCCGTCCAAGGTATTCGTAATATTCCTCTCAGAAACCACATCTCTGTTGCTTCTAAATCTTCTTAATTTGTTCACTGACATTTTAAGATTCGCTGCCATACAGCAGAACAGGTTCTAACAATTTAGCACCCTCTTTGTTTTCCTGACATTAAATGAGAGCGATTTATTAAATTGGACAGTATGGACTTAAAATTGAAAAGAACTCATACACGCTACTTCGACCACAGCTGCCAGGAATAACTTCTGGTCTACGTTTCATCACCCAAGAAGTTAAGCCACTCTCCATGCACGTACAGACAAGCGCCGGGCAATTCCTCAAGTCCACGGAAGTGATGTCACTGAGGTACCTCAACGCTAGCGGCACTCGAGTCAGCTGCGTTTCTTGTAGATTCAGTTCCCGGAGATGTGGCAGATGTTGTAGTGCAACAGCACTAATTGTGGTCAGTGGATTATTGTTTAAATGTAAATACAGTAGTCCGAAATTGTCAGGGAAACTTGTATTCGTTAATTCAGTTATCAAATTGTACCCAATATCAAGTGTTGTTACCTTACTGTGGAAGTTCGTTTCATGCAGTGCTTTGATATTATTATATAGGAGTATAAAATCCGATAGAAACAGTAATGTAGACATAAACGATGGAATTAATGTAAGCGAGTTATACGACAGATTAAGGATAAACGTATTTGGATTGACATTCCCCGAGATAGAATCATATATTCTATTATGTGAAAAATCAAAAGACTGCACGTGCATCAAGAATGATAAGTCGGGGATGCTGGTCAGATGATTATTACTTGTGTCGAGAGTGTGCAATGATCCATTGAACGGACGTAAAGCCTGGCTTAGATGACTCGCATTTGAGATGTAATTATTGCCTAAAGTCAGCGTATTCAGTTGGCTGTTTTTAGGAAGCCACGTTACGTCGGTAATATGATTGTCTGGAATATTTAGTACCTCCAAATATTTCAAAATTGAAATCGCTTTAGGAACCATAGTTAATCGATTGTTGTAAAGATTCAAGCGTACTAAGCTATTTGCCACATTATCAAGAGCATTATCGGGCAAAGCAGAAAAGGAGGCATATGAAATAGTTAGATCTGAAAGTTTCGTGCATGACTGAATCCACACTGGCCAAGATGTTATACCAACATTTTCCAAAGACAAAGTCTCCAGTGTCAGACCCAAAGTCTTCCAGACGCCGTCATTCCAGTCTGTTATGTTGGCCCCCGTTATAAACAAC